CTATTCCTCGCAAAAGTCAAATAGCTCTTTGAAAATGTTGGAGAAACAGAGCATCATTGACATGAGTAAACCTCCAAAAAAAAAACAAGAGACAAAACCGGTATTCACTTCCTGGTTTTCGAATTATAATGTTAATGTTAAAAACCGAATTATATATCTTAACTAGATTCAGTTTTTTTTTTATACAAGAAAAAGGAATCGAATCCAAAACCATAAGCAGCTGTTTAAAGTCCTCCTCTCCTCATCCTTGCTGCTTTGTTGCGAACAGCATCCAGAATACGGCAATAGTCATAGAACAACGAAGAATGTGCTCCTCCTTCAAGTCCGTTTCGAGTACGCCGATTACCTCCAGCAAGGTTATTGCAGGGGCTGCCGCCAATGACAAGATCAAATCCGCCATACCTGTCCATAAGTTGTTCGATCTTGTGGATGCCTAGCTCTTGAACATTTCTAATCTCAATCAGAGTACCCGTTTGATTCGTCATGATATCCCGGTTCACTTCTCAAATCTCGACAGAGACGACTACCTTCATTGGGATCTGAAGGCGATGTAATGCAACTTCTCCACCGCCAATTCCACTGAACAGTGACAGAACTTTGATTCCATTTGGGAACAACGGCTTCAAGACAGACAAGTGGTATGCAACAGTATCAACCTAGAGAGAAAAAAAAAAAAAACAAGTTTAGACAAAGACTTTAAAACCATAACTGAATTGATGAAGAGTCTAAAGATATATACCTGAAATGCGTTTCCGAGAGACTTGTAACGGTCAGTTTTAGTGACTCCTCGAGTATGATCTCTTGGGAAACCAAGAAACTTCTCCATCTCATCTGGTTCAAGTGGAGCAAGCTTGTTCTTCCCGACCCAAACGAGATTCCACTTCTTGCACTGTCTCATGACATGTTTCTGCACCTCTTCAGGTGGCTCTCGATCATATCTCTCAAGAGCTGTACGGAGTCTGCTTGTGAGTTTAGCGCTCCCGATCCAAGTAAGCAAACAATTCAGTTTGGTTCGTCCATCCCAAGTTGGCCACCAACTCTTCGTCATGGGAAAAGCTTTATGAATCGTATACTCTTGTGGAGGTTGAATTTGAAACCTGTTCTTGATGGGAAGATTATGTATATACCCTCTCTTCCTCGCAGCCGCGCAGAAATGTTTTGAGTCTACAAATTCCGGCATGATTCCATAGAAATGCCTGGTGATCGTGTCCCAAACACCTTTAGGTGCCATAGCAACATTTTCATAGTAAAAATAGGGCGGGCCACGAGCTACATCTGGAATTGGGACTGGTCTGTGCATCAAAACTCTGGAATGGGTAGGTACGCCAAACCCGATCATTGGCTTTGGTAGACGAACGAGCTCATCATGATGGACCATGGTAGTGTTCCGCTTTCTCCCTCTTTCAGCTGGCTCATTGTCTGTTCGCCTCTTCTTGCTACTGCTAATTCTTGCCTGCACAGTCACAAAGTCAAGCTTTCAAACCACTGAATCTCAATGAACAAGCATAAAAAACTATATAACTTAGGGAAAAGTTCACTGTTGGTTTTTTGTAACTTATTCAGTTTAGTCACACACAATAACAACTTCAACAGAGATAACGTAATAGGTTTTTCAAGAGACTTAGACTTCTTACCTCTTCTTCATCATGAACTGCATCGTCGTGCCATCTGAGCAGCACAAATGAAGTCTATACTCTCCGCAACACTTGCGTTTTCTCCTGATAATTTTTCAGAAAAAATCATAAGTTGCAAGGACATCAAATGAATCGATAAGAGAAATACATGTAACCATCTAACAAGTTAAAAGAGAGAAATAAGAGTCATGAAAATAACTGAGCGAGGGATTACCGCATCTCTCTATAGCTTTAGCAGCCTCATCCCTCGAATACTCCATTTTGACCAAATCTCGCAATCTACTATCTCGAGGGGAGGAGTTTAGTTCATCCTGTCATTATTGAAGACATAAGAGAAATGCATTGGACTGGGTAGAAAAGATATAAACAAGCAAGTCTGAAACTTGGAAAGCAAAACCAGTATATATACCTCTTCATCTGAGAAAAATAGACCTGAGTAAAGATCATCATCATTATTATCTGACGGCGAGCTAAAAGTGATGTCTTCATCTTCTGTTTCACGCAATTTCTCAATCTCCTACAGAAAAGTAATGAACTTTTAACTATATGAAATGTAGTATATTAAATTACAGGACACAATCTATAATCAGAGTATCTACTTACTGGATAACTCAGAAGTCCGTTTGTTATCTCGTCTATATTTTCATCTCCTGCAAATTATCAAAGACAGTTCAGAAAACTGCATAAAATTCTCCCAGTTTTTTTTTTGAAAAAGAAAGAGTGAGAGATATGTCATTACCATATTCTTGAACAGCTTTAATCACCAACTCCTCAGGGAAACCCATCGCAATAAGATCTGTGATCTTTGATTTTGATGAACTAGCTTCAGAGCTCTTCTTCACAAAGAAACATAGAGTGGAGTTAACATTACATGTCGAGCAAATATCAAAAAGTTGTCATGAGATTACAAACAAGTAAACCGTAACCACAAAAGAATAACTTTAGTATTCCAATTACAAGACACAATATATTATCAGAGAATCTACTTACTGCATTATTCAGAAGTACGTTTGTTATCTCGTCTATATCTTCATCTCCTGCATATAATCAAGGACAGTTCAGAAAACTGCATAAAATTCTTCCAACTTTGCTGGAAAAGAAAGAGTGAGAGATATGTCATTACCATATTCTTGAATAGCTTTTATCACCGATTCCTCAGAGAAACCCATCGCAATAAGAAGATCTATGGTTTTAGATTTTGAAGAACTAGCTACAGAGCTCGTCTTCACAAAGAAACACAGAATGGAGTTAACATTACATGTCGAGCAGATATCAAAAAGTTGTCATGAGATTACAAACAAGCAAACCGTAGCCACAAAAGAATAACTTTAGAAGATTACAAGTAACATAAAAGATTCAGAACATAGAAACTCACAGAATACTTGACGAGAGTTTCAATAATCAAATCAGGTTCCGAATGTGCTCCTGCATATTATTAACATTGCATCAGTTGAAAGACATAAGAAGATAAAATCTCAAGATAACACACAATAAGAAATAGACTCACCTTTAGTTTCCTCGATTGCTCTAGCAATCATTTCTTCTGAAAATCCCATATCAATAAGCCTAGCAACCATCTCATCCGAAGAATTCGTCTAATGTTATACAAAGAAAACAAAAAAAATCCCACTAGTCATGTTTTTGGCATCAAACAAGTTAGAATCTTAATTTGCTTCAGAAACCAGATATTGAAAGACTTACAACAACCGGTCCATCTGAGGTAGAATGCACAGGAGATGAAGTTGGAGAGCATTGGAAGTTATCGATCTCATCATATTCGTCATCAGTATTCGAATTTGCATAGTTGTCATCATCACCATATGAATGTTCAGCCTTGAGATAAACACATAGCACAAACATATCACATCTTCCATCTATTACCTGTAAATAATAAACCTTTGAAAACAAAGTATATGTGACATTTACCATCTCTCTGTGCTTGAAGCTTGTGTATATCCCAAACCTGTTCATATAACACCTTCGTCTCAGTCCTGGGTACTTTGAGAAATTTCTAAGCTAAACTTACAAATCAGAACGGAAACTATTCCATAAACAGGACGGTCTTAAAATGAGTGAGAAGAAACGAGGTCGAAATCTTCAAATGTTGAATAAAACAAACATCTTTGCTTCACCACTATCACTAAGGAAACAATACTGAATAAAAATGAAGAATCGTACCGGAGATTGGTGAGCTCTTCGATTTACAGTGGCCGAGCTAAAGGTTTCAACTTTTCGGAGCAACCCAATACCAATACTCGCCGGAGAGTGAGAAGAATCGTACCGGAGGTTAGTGAGCTCTTCGATTTACAAGAGCCGAGCTAGGGATTTCAACTAATCGGAGTAACCCAACTCCAACACTTAGCCGGAGAGACACCTACGATCAAAATCGCAGTGGCTTCTTCTGGGTTTTTGCGACTCTTCGAGAAGAAGAAGTACAATTACAATAATTACCAAAACTCATTCCTATCTCACTATTGAAGCCCATTTACTTTTTAATTTGTTAAATAAACCTAAATTCGTAAACATGGCATCAGTTTTAATTTGGTACTTATTTTGGTGATTTACTTCGTGTTCTTTTATACAACACACTACTTTAAATTTTGATCTATACTTGAATTTTAAACAATTGTCGTTTCATTTGTAGGTTATTTTTATATTCAATTGTGAACTGAAATGGATAATTTACAAACTTCGTGGCTGTATCTGTGTACTTTAGGTTCCTTGTGATAGTTATGCAAACGTTTTGGGTAAAAATTATAAATTTCAAAAGTTATGAGTCCAGCCAAACGTAGAGAAGGATAAAATGGTCAATTTACATGTACCTTCAGTGAGTCAAAGACCGTTACATTATATAGTAATTTTTTTTTTTCCAAATCTGTTATATATGTAAACATTTAAATAGTGTGACTATATAATATGAATTTCCAATATCAATTCTGTAATATTACCGTATAAAATCTTTTATATGGTAATATAGCGCGCACACGCGCACACACACACCAGACCTTCAAAAAAATTTAAAATTCCTATATTTATAAATTGGGTTAATTAACATCTTTTCTTTTTAAAAAAAAAATTATGTCAAACTTGCGTTTAAAAATATATAGAAAATAGCAAATGCCAGCTATAAATTAACTGTTATCCACTTTTTTCTATGCTTATTTGCTTTAAAACTGAAAAAGAGTCATGCACGTACATTTACGTAGAGAAGAGAAAGATGAGACCATTGTCCCATTTTTTCTTTAAAAACATCATTTTCCTTGTTTTTTAATCTCTAATCTCTCAAATTTACAAATGAAAATCTTTCTAAAACATCAGCAATTAATGAAAATAATGCTTAAAATACTTCGAGTAATGAAAATTTGTAGAGACGTTTATAAATGTTATAAGTTATAACCAATAACACCATATGTGGTATTTTAACTTTTTTTCTTTTTGAGAAATATTTGGTTGTAACTTGGAATTTATAACCAAAGTTCATACTAATTGGACCAGTTCCTTCACCGATGTACCATAATACAAAGCAAAAATATTGCCATTGATCTAAATTGGACCAGTGATCGATAGACCAGATTGAATCGTACCATTCTCTTAAAAACTATTGAAATAAAAATAAACTCGAAAGCTAAAGAACTCGATGGTTCTATTCAACCCGATTCTATTCGTAAACTTATAATATCCAATAAGGTAGAGCAAAAGAAACTCTAACAATTCATTCATCATAATGTTCCTCTCCATTTCAAAGATTATTTTCTTTGGCTTAGTAAAAAATAGTTAGGACCTTAACCATAGTTGGAAAAAAAAACCATAAAATCTCTAGAAATTTGGTAGATTATCTCGGGATTCGATTTTGCACTATATCGTTTTGGTAAATGGTTCGTCCGTTATAATTTATTCACGTCTAATCCTCTCGAAGTTATTTTTCACT